CAAGGCTCTCTTACAGCTCTCGGTTTCATCTCGAATTACGTCTGTTATTTCTCGTTTCTCTGCTCCCCACTCCCCCCCAGCAGCAACCTCGGGAGGAATCAACGCAGTAGGGAGCAGCAGGCAACCCACGAGTCCTGGTCAACAAAAAAAAGCAGCAAAAACAACAAGAGGGGATACCAAAAATAAAATAAAATAAACACGTCTTTGTGTGAAAGTATTTCACGTTACAGCAGACAAACCTGGCGACGCACGTGTAGAGAAGGACACGCGCAGCGGGAGAGCGAAAGAGGCAGACACACACACACACACACACCCAGAGAGACAGAGACAGAGAAAGAGAAAGAGAGGGACAGAGAGGCAGATGGCTGCACACATGAATATCTGGTGTCGTGCATGTAGCACCCACAGGTGGGCCGCCGCGTATTCGTTGACGCCAGCCGCCTCTTTTGCCTCAACCCCCTCCACCTCCATCTCCATTTCCGACTTCTTCGCCTCCCCATCCTCGATGCCGCTCCCCAAAAACGATGCTGTGCCTTAAACTGACGCGTGTATCCCCCTCCATTTTTGGTTTGATTGAAATTTGCTTCACTTTTATGATCGCTCCCTGCCAGCGAGGGCGCGTGGGTGCGCACGGGGGGCTGTTACATTATGCGTGCGCGGCGGGTGGCAGCCGCACCTGCGCACACCCCACCCCCTCCGCTCGCTGCGGGAGCGGCCCCCGCGCCGCCTCGTCCCCACCCGCCCATAGAAATGACATCCACGAAACAAAAAAAACAAAAAAAACAACAACAACAACAAGAAAAGCAGCCGCTGTTGAGAGAAGAAACGCAGGCGAAATTAACAGCTTTTGATTTTTCTTTTTTTCTTTTTTACCTTTTTTTTCTACGCCGTTCGCCCCCTCGCAACATCACTCACGCGCTCAGTTAAAGAGACGAGGCGGCGGGAACGGAGGGACGGCGAACGCCTTCCCTCCACCCACGGCAACGCCACCATCATGCACTGTCGCTGCTGCCGCAGCGTGTGTGCCGCGCGACGGCCGCGCCGCGGCGTGCTTAGTCCCACAGCGAGAAGAATGAGAAGCCGAAGCAGCCGACGCTGACGACGCGGTGCGACTGCCCCTCCTCATCGATGCCGCCCTCCATAATGGGCTCGAGCGCCCCCGGCAGCCACGCCTGCAGCTGCGGCGCGGGGTCCTGCGTGCCGTTGACGGCGCCGTCGGGGCACTGAAGGAGGTTCGCCTTCCGCAGCGCCGCCATTCCGAGAGAAATGTGGCGAAGCTTCCGCTTTTTCCGGTTCCAACTCACATGGGCCCTAACATCCGCGTCCTGCGCGCTCCACCAGTCGATGGGAACGTGCGTCAACCCCTCCTCCGCCGCGTTGACGGGCTGGAGCGTGGCGGCCACGGGGCTGGTGAGGACGAGTTGTGGGCCACATTCCTCCCTCGAGCCGCACTCGTCGCTGTCACCCGCACGGGCCGCGTCGCCTTCGTGCGTCACGGGGGTGGGTGTACCGTCACTACTCTGACTACAACTACTACTCCTATTCGGCGGTGTTTCCACCGCGTTGGTGGTGGGAGCGGTGGTGGGGGACGACACGAGCACGGCGGCCTCGCTCATGCGCTTCCAGCGTGCCTGCAGCCATTGCTCCACCTCCCGCACCGCCACCTGCAGCTCGTGCTGCCGCGCAAAGAGCTCCATAGAGTACAGCAGCGTCGCCGCAACGCCAACGCTGCCGACGTGTCCCGTGGTGTCATCGCAGAGGTAATGCTGGACATCCCCGAAGAGGGACTCCCACTTCTGGCAAAACTGATACGTGTAGTACTCGTAATCAAAGGTGCCCGAGCAGAAGTAGGCGTAATACTTGCTCTGGGTGATGTCCCGCAGATTGCCTTCCTCAACGCCACCAACGGCAAACCCGCCAGCCTGTAGATACAAGGGGACGTAGTTCACGTACAGCTGGGCAAGGCGGAAATGCAGTTTCCAGGCGTGCCGCATCGACTCTGCAAGAAGCCACATGAGCGCCATCATCTGCTGTGACCGCTGTGCCAAAACCACGCGCTCAATGTACTTGCGTGAGCTGAGCTCGTAGCACCGCGCCCGCTTCGGGGTGCCTGCCTCCGAAGCCGCAACTACAGCGAGCTCCGCCACTGCCGCTTCCTGCTCCGACGACTCCACTGCCCGATCCCGGCGCTTGTAATAGTCGTACAGGCGATTCAGGTCTTGAAGGTCAATCGCGTCATCGCCGTCGAGGTAGCTACCTGCCTCGTCCGTGTCCTCCACGGAGACCACACGCGAGTTCACTAAGCCGTCCACGTCGGCGTTGTTTTCGCTCTCCGCCTTGTGCTGCGCCAGTGCTTCTCCACTAAGCGTAGCCGACTGCGACGGCGATGACGGCGGGGCATCACATGCTGCCTCCTGCACAAGGGCGCCAAGACGGCGCTGCTCCGCCTCCTCCCACAATGCCGCCTCATCCCGCTGCAGTTCCTTTCGTTGCCGTGCCTCCATCCTCAGCTGCTCGCTGCGTGCCTGCTTCAGCTGCAGCCGGGCTGAACTTGAGCCGAGGCGCAGCGCTGGCGAGGTCGGCGACGAACAGCCGCCCGATGAGCCCTCCGTCTTCGTCTGCATGCGGCGTGTGTCACTCACGACCCAACGCGCGGACGGCGCCGGTGCGGCGCCGGTGGAAAAAAATGAATCCGACCGCACGGCCCCGTCGTTATCGGCGTGCGCGGCGCGCTGCCACGGCTCCGCAAAGACACTCTTCGCCGCTCTCAGAGTCCCGCCCTTCGCTCTGTGGGTGACCGAGGCGGACGCCGCCGCCGGCTCCGGCTCGGAGGTAACGATGGAGGGGGCACGGCTGCTTGAGGCGTGGGCCGCCCCCCGCCGCGGCGGGGCGGAGGAGGCCAGCAGGCTCATGTCGGGCAGCTCAGGCGCACACAACAGACGTCGCCAGAAGGGCAGGCGATCCGCGGCGGCGGCTGCCTTGGGAGGCGACGGTGAGAGCGTGGGCACGTCATCCTGCGGTGGGGCGACGCTGGAGCGGGCCTCCCGCGGGCGGCGCCTTGGAAAGATGAGCTGCGCGAGCGTCAAAACCATAGACGGCCAACGCGCCAGCTCCTCCGCTCCTCCTTCTTCGCCCACAGCCAACGCCTCACTTATCGCCCCACACGCACACGCAGATAGTTGCAGGCTCACGAGCGCAGAGGCGGCAGAAGAAACGCGGACAACAACAACAAAAAGTACCCCTCCAAACGCCCTGCGCTCCCAGCCACCTCTAGCCGCGCTCCGCAAATAAAAGCTATAGGAGAACTCCTGCTGTTGAGCAGTCAAAAACACTGCAGGGTCACCGAAGGCAGAGACAAGAAAAGACGAGGCAAGAGAAAGAGAGAGAAAGGGGGTGATACGTGGGTGTCTGCATGTATGTGTGGCAGTGACGCCGCAGCATCATCGCAGGGCCCCAGAGCAAACGGCACGGGAGGTGTGTATGTATTATATATATATAAAGTTAGTAAACACAAAAAGGGAGAAGTGGCGGGGACGAGCCACATGTCCGCCGGGAACGGCGGAACAGCACGCGAGTCACTTCCGGTGCGGGGGCGGGCAACTTCACTTCGGGACTGCACTGCAGATGTGCTCAGCGCGCGGGTGAAGTTGAAGGGCGTCACGCAGGAATTTCCGCAACAGACGCAAACGGGGAAGCACAGCACCCCCCGCTGTGGTGGCGCCCCATCGTCCTTGCACATCCAGTGGAATCGCAGACCGGCAGGCGAAAGCAAAAGACCAAATACATTCATACACACACACACAACGCAAG